GAGCTTCCTTAGGTGGCTTGTTAGGCTGTTAATTTGTGATCCTTCCATTTTCTTCATGTGTGGTTGTAGGGATATAAATTCTCCTCTTACTACAGCTTTCATGGCGTCCCAGAGATTTTGGTAAGATGTTTCTTCGTTTTTATTTGTTTCCAGGTATCTTTTAATCTCTGTTCTGATGTCATCATTGACCCAGGAGTTATTTAGCATCATGCTGTTTAGTGTCCATGTCTTTGTGGGTTTTGGAGGGACTTTGTTGGTGTCAATGTTTATTTTTATTTCACTGTCCGAGAAGGTGGTCCGAGAAGGTGCATGGTAGAATTTCAGTCCTTTTAAATTTGCTTATACTTGATTTGTGTCCAATTATGTGGTCGATCTTAGAATATGTTCCATGTGGTGATGAGTAGAATGTGTATTCTGTGGTCTTTGGATGGAGTGTTCTATAGGTTAAATTTTATTTTTAATTGATAGTAGTTGTACAAAATTACAGGATATAATATAATGTTTTGAGACAAGTATACATTGTATAATGATCAAATTAGAGTAATTTGTATATCCATAACCTCAAACATTTATACAGGAAGCTTCTCTTGGAATATCTGTTCTCTTGGTTTCCCATCACCTTGATGTTGTTAACTCCCAAATCTTTGCCTCCTAAGCTTCCTCTCCTCTGTCCTACCCAGCATAATTTTTCTGTCTGTCCCACTATCCCACAAGGTATTCATAAATGTCAGTCATACTTCATTCAGGCTGGTCTCTTTATCATAAGTGAGTTTTTGTGAAATTAAGCACATGATTTGGAACTTAACTTTAAAACAAACAGTCAAAAAACGCTAACTGGGCAAGTTACTTAGCCTCTCCGAACTTTATTATTTTTATTTATTTTTGTTTTTTGAGTTAGAGTCTCACTCTTGTCACTCAGGCTGGAGTGCGTGGCACGCACACGGCCACCGCAGCCTCAACCTGCTGGGCTTAGATGATCCTTCCGCCTTAGCCTTCCAAATAGCTGGAACTACAGATGCACACCACCACGCCTGTTTGTTTGTTTGTGATTTATTGTAGAGATGAGGTCTCACCAAGTTGCCCAGGCTGGTCTTGAACCCCCAGGCTCAGGCAATCCTCTCGTCTCAGCCTCCTAAAATGCTGGAATTACAGGCTAAGCCACCACACCTGGCCCTCTCTGAGGTTTAGCTTCCTCATCTCTACCAGAAGTGATGATGCCATAGCAATAGACATGTTGGAAAAGTTAAATGAAAGAATTCACTTTAATTACAAAACCCAGCGCCTGGAAATTGATAAGTGCCTGGCAAAAGTTGTTTTTTTCTCCTTCATGGTCAGTGTTTAAAATATTTATTTGGGCTGGGCGTAGTGGCTCACACCTATAATCCCAAGACTTTGGGAGGCTGAGGTGAAAGGATTTCTTGAGCCCATGGGTTCCAGACCAGTCTGGGCAGCTCAGTGAGACCTCATCTTTTCAATAAATCAAAAGATTAGCCAGGAATGGTGGTGCGTGCCTGTAGTTCCAGCTACTTGGAAGGCTGAGGCGGAAGGATCACCTGAGCCCAGCAGGTTGAGGCTGTGGTGGCCGTGAGTGTGCCACTGCACTCCTGCCTGGGCGGCAGAGTGAGACTCCAACTCAAAAAATAAAAATAAAAATAAAAAAGAATAAAATATCCGCTCTGATTCCAATTTTTCAGGCCTATTGCTTAATTTATCCCATTTGATTCTTACCACATTCATCATACTTAATTATGACAACCTAGGATAAGAAGTTTCTTAAAAGAGTTGGAAACCTCAAAAGGAACAATATTTGTCTAATCCAATAGAATGTTGCTGGCTATGCTTTCTGACCAAAATTTCATTTTTTAGATTGGGGGAGAAGGGCTTCATTAAAGTGAAGGTGGCCATAATGCCGAGGGTTTTTTTTTTTTTTTTTTTTTTAATCAGCCAGGCAGGGTGGCTCACACCTATAATCCCAGCACTTTGGGAGGCCAAGATGAGATGATTGCTTGAGCCCAGGAGTTCACCCCTAGCCTAGGCAACATAGTGAGACCTTGTCTCTACAAAAAAATTATAAAATTAGCTGGGCATGGTGGCACGCACCTAGTCTCAGCTACTGGGGAGGCTGAGGCAGAAGAATGGCCTCAGCCCAGGAGGTCGAGGTTGTGGTGAGCCATGATCATGCCACTGCACTCCAGCCTGGGTGATAGATTGAGAGACTCTTAAATATATATATATATATATGTGTATACTAAGACTTTCTGAGTAAAATTTATAATCTGAAGATTTACACTTGAGATGAAGAAATTTTTTTCATCTTTAACATTAAATTCTTAAGAATAGCATTGAATAGCACAATATGCCTCTTTTTTCCCGTGTCAATTATCTAGTATTTCTATGCATGTACATTGTGTTAGGAGCTCTGGGAGAGCCAGAAGAGTAAGATCATGTTTTTTCCATTCCCAAATGGCCAACACATTTCTCAGTACCGATGTCTAGTTTTTATTTCAGTTGATTACTTGTAAACTTTTATTATATTTGTACACATGCTCTCATTTGGTTTTATCTTCATTTGAATGGTTCTTAAAAAATGCCATCGGACAGCCTCCTTGGGTCCTCTCTCACTGTGAGAGCTTTTCTGTCCTCTCAATAAATCCTGCTTTCTTAAGAAAAAAATGCCATCAACTACATGGTAAGGCTAGAGGTACATTACATCTAGAGGGTAACTGAATATTAAGTAATTTGCATGAATATATTAAGTAATTTGCTTATCTATATTGTCTAAGTAAGAGCATGGAAAAAGCCGGGCTTGGTGGCTCAGCCTGTAATCCCGCGCCTTTGGGAGGCTGAGGTGGGTGGATTTCCTGAGCCCGTGGGTTCGAGACCCGCCTGGGCAGCGAGACCTCATCTCTACAATAAATCAAAAAATCAGCCAGGCGTGGTAGCGTGCGCCTGTAATTCCAGCTACTCGGAAGGCTGAGGCGGAAGGATCGCCAGAGCCCAGCAGGTCGAGGCTGCGGTGTCCGGGAGCTGCCACTGCACTCCAGTCTGGGCGACAGAGTGAGACTCCGACTCAAAAAAAAAAAAAAAAAAAAGAGCATGGAAGAAGACATAAGACTAAGTGGCAACCCAAAAGGTGAAACTACTCAAATGTCCATCATCTGGTGAATGGATAAACAAAATGTGATCTAGTTATACAATGGGATATTATTTAGCCATAAAAATTAGTGAAGTGTTGAATCATGCTGTGATATGGATAAACATTGAAAACACTATTCTAAATGAAAGAAACCAGACACAAAAAAGCCACATATTGTGTGATTCCATTTATATGAAATATCTAGAATTGGCAAGTCTGTAGAGACAAAAAGTATAATAGTGGTTATCAGAGACTGGGGGATGAAGAGTTACTGTTTGCTGGGAATAGACTTTCTGTTTAGGATGATGAAAAAGTTCTGGAAATGGATAGTGGTGATGGTTGCACATTTTGAATATACTCAGTGCTACTGAATTGCATATTTGAAAATGGTTCAAATAGTAAACTTTATGTTCTGTGTATTTACCACAATAAAAAAGAAAAAGTAAGGGGCTAGGAGGTCATTGTTACAAGCCTCCTATTTTTCTTTCTGCACAGGAGCCATGGATAACAGAGGATTTCAACAGGGGAGTTTTAGTAGCTTCCGGAGCAGCTCCAGTGATGAAGACTTGATGGACATTCCAGGGACAGCTATGGATTTCTCCATGAGAGATGACGTTCCTCCCTTAGACAGAGAAGTGGAAGGTATCATTACTGGTGATGACAGTTTATCTTTTTAAAAATTATTTTTAATTTATGCACAGGAAAAATTATTTTCTGGCACACAGTTCTGTGAGTAACATATACCTAGATTCTTATAGCGACCACCACTGACAGGATTCAGAACAAGTCAGTTCCCTAAAGAAGTCCCTATTGCCACCCCTTTGCAGTCACACCTCCCTCTTCCCCGACCCCTGGTACCACTGATTCTCTGTCACTATCGTTTGTTGTTGTTTCTTTTTTTCTTTTCGGTGATGTCATATACATGAAATCATATAGGATGCCACCTTTTGAGACTGACTTTTTTCACTCAGTTTAGTGCCTTGGAGATTTATTCAAGCTCTTCATTTCTTTTTCTTGCTGAGTAGTATACCTGGGAGAAAGATCGCTGGGTCCTGTGGTAAATGTATGTTTAGCTTTATAAGAAACTGCCAAACTATTTTCCAGAGTGCCTGTACCATTTTGCATCTGAACTAGCCATGTGTGAGAGTTCTACTTGCTCTACATCCTCAACAGCTCTTGGTATTTTCAGTAATTTTTATTTGGCCATCCTAATAGCTAGGTAGTGTTATCTCATCATGCTTTCAATTTAATTTCCTTAATGGCTTATGATGTTGAACACCACTTCATGTGTTTATTTGCTCACCTTATATCCTCTTTAATGAAGTGTGTGTGTGCAAATCCTTTCCTTTTTTATAATTGGATTTTTTTATTAACTGGAATACATCTGTAAAATGAAAATCTCCCTCATTTGTTACTTGGTTACCTAGCTTTGTCATTCTTTTCAGTGTCTGCATGCAATTTTATGGTATGTTTGTACCATAGTTTATTTAACCAAGCTTCTTTTGATATACATTTCAGTTGTTTCTGATCTTTTGCTATTATAAATAATACCATCATAAACAACTTCATATATGTATAGATTGTAAATATATGAGAGCATTTTTGTAGCATGTGCTTATTTCCCCACAACCTTCCCTGTGCTGAAATTATAATTATTTTTTTATCTTTATGACAGGACAACTAAATAATTCCCATTATTTAAAAAATTTTTATCCTTTTAATTAATGAAGTTGAGCATATCTTCATATGTTTAAAAACCACTTTAACTTATTTTTTTCTGTTCATATGATATTCTTATTTTTCTTTTCCTTTTTCTTTTTTTTGAGTTGGAGTCTCACTCTGTTGCCCAGACTGGAGTGCAGTGGCCACTCCTGGCCACCGCAGCCTCGACCTGCTGGTCTCTGGCGATCCTTCCGCCTCAACCTTCCAAGCAGCTGGAACTACAGGCGCGCGCTACCATGCTCAGCTAATTTTTTTGATTTACTGTAGAGATGAGGTCTCACCAAGTTGCCCAGGCCGGTCTCGAACCCTTGGGCTCAGGCAATTCACTCACCTCGCCTCCCAAAGTGCGGGATTACAGGCTGAGCCACCAAGCCTGGCCCTAAGACAAATATTAACCTGTAACGTAGATCTCATTGGGAAAGACAGTAAATGAGTAAGAGACAGATTACCTAGTTAGTTACCCATTGTGATAAGTACTAGGATGGAAATAAGCTGAATGATGTGAATGATAACTGGGGAATAGCATTTTAGTTAGGAACGTTGGATAAGGTCTCTGAGGGAGATGACCAATGTGGGATGAACATACCAGTATGAAAACCACAGATTAAACAGCCCTATTAAAAACAGGCAAAAGACATGAATAGTTACTTTTCAAAAGAATACATATGAGCAGCCAACAAATACATGAATCATCAAAGATCAGCTTCACTAATCATCAAAGAAATGCAAATCAAAACCACACTGAGATACCACCTATCTCCAGTCAGGATGGCCATCATTAATAAGTCAATAAACAACAGATGCTGGAGAGCATACAGAGAAAAGGGAATGCTTCTATACTGTTGGTGGGAGTGTAAATTAGTACAGCCTCTGTGGAAAACAGTGTGGTGATTTCTAAAAGATCTAGAAATTGATCTTACATATGACCCAGCAATCCTCCTACTCGGAATATGCCCAGAGGAACTCAGATCATTCTACAAAAAGATACCTGCGCATGCATGTTTATTGCAGCAGTATTCACAATAGCAAAAATGTGGAACCAGCCGTGCTATCGAAAGCAGACTGGATTAAAAAAAGTGATACATATACACAATGGAATATTTGCAGCCATAAAGAAGGACAAAATTATGGACTTCACAGCAACTTGGATGGATTTAGAGTCTGTCATACTCAGTGATCTGTCACAGAAACAAAGAACTGAGTACCACATGTTCTCACTCATAAGTGGACCCTGAGCATTTATCATAATACTATAAGAAAGGAATTGGCAGTAGCGGGACACTGCTAAGTGGGGGGAGGAGCACATAACATCACCAAGGTACCTGATCCTAAACCAGGCAAAGTGAGGACCAATGGGAGGCCCAAACTTCACCTGCACATAGACCACTTATGTACCTAATCCTGACTTGTGCCCTGCATCTTTAAAATAGAATATATTTTTTTTTAAAGGAAAGAAAGTCACAGATTAAAAAGGATGACAAGAAACTTTCCTTGAGAAAATATCTTAGGACAATAATAGTAGGAGAGAACCCTGAATGTAAAGTTCATAAAAGAGGCTGGTCCCATAGTAGTGGGTTATCAGAGTTTATTGATGTCACTAAACTTGGTGTGCAACCCCGCACTGTTAAATTTGGCTGGCTTAAACAATATATGTGTGTGTGTGTGTATAATTCATAAAAGGAAGGTACTCATGGTTTGATATTTAGTGGTTTTTCATATTTGCCTTCTTTTACAAGAGGGAATTGTGTTTGTATATCACTTCTATTTGTGTGTAGTGACAACCATATTGAGTCAGTTATACCAATCACTGAATGTTGTGAAGTGATCAGTTAGGTAGATTCATAAGCTTAAACTGGCTACTTCTACTTAAGCCTTCTGGCCAAACCTGGTTAATTATCTTCATTGCTTCTAATAGAAAAAGTGCCTGGGCGTGGTGGCTCACACCTGTAACCTCAGCACTTTGGGAGACTGAGGCAGGAAGATTGCTTGAACCCAGGAGTTCAAGATCATCCTGGGCAATGTAGCAAGACCTCATTTCTACAAAAATATCAAAAAATTAGCCACACGTGGTGGTGCATGCCTGTAGTCCCAGCTACTCGGGAGGCTGAGGCAGAAGGATTACCTGAGCCCAGGAGTTTGAGGCTGCGGTAATCATGACCATGCTACTGTACTCCAGCCTGAGCAACAGAGTGAGACCCTGACTCAAAAAACAAAAACAAAAAAAGAAGAAAAGAAAATAGTCTAGTGCATCATCCCTAACTCCAGAGTACTTTTTGTGTGTTCATGTTGCTCTCAGCAGATGATTGGAACAAGTGACTATGCATTATTCCCATTTCATAGACTAGTAAACCGAGGCAGAACAAAATTTTGACATTGCTTGTGATTGTAGAATGTTTTCACATGAGTAGTCCTTTATCACTTTTCACTTGCCTTTACAGAATTACTGCTTGTAATTTCCAAGATCTGACCATAAAATAATTAGGCTGCTTTCCATGAGCCACAAATGAAAATCAGTCCACTTACTACACTCTCAAGTGATACAAGTGGGGTCCAGATTGTGTACATCTCCTCTCCTCTCCTCTCCCC